ATTCAACACGCTCAGAGAGTTTTCCTCACTTATTTATATTTGACATTCACGCATGATGTATTAAAGGTGTATTTTATGTAGGTATATAGGTATAGTACCTATGGTATTAAAATTATTTCAAAGACTTACACATAATACTTCAACATATTATAGTTTAATATTTATATATTATAACATAATATATATATTTTTGAACAGTGTTATATTTTTTTCAAGTAACTCTAAGTTCCTTTACTAGATTCGTTAGATTGAATCCGGTACTTTTTTAAGAGTCATTTCGTATTTAATCATGAATACGTTTTCACATTATTTCTCGATTTATTAAAATCTTTAAATCTATTCATATACATTTAATTATTAATGTTGTCATTTTTTTAAAAAAATGTACAAACAATAGTATCCATCTATATTTTTACTATATAAAGTTATACCTAAAGTAAACACGAGGTGTACCAGGGAAGTTAAGCATTTTAAATGTTCCTATAAATATGTGTTCACTTTACAGAAAACCTCGATTCATACAGCCATAAATCGTAACCCAGGCAATAAATTTGATAAGAATGATTGTGTCTACAATTTAATATAACAATTTAAATGATCGCACTGTATAGAATATAGATCCATGTTTAGTTTAAATATATTTCTACATTACATCGTTTAAATCTAAATTTCAATAATTACATTTAAAACTTTATCTAATTTGTTTGAATATTAGATTCTAATTGTTTTTAATTTCTGCAATATCTATCCTTAGTTATATTCTGTACACATATTGCATATAATATAATAAACATCTTATTATTATATATATTCATTATTTCAATAACCATCGTTAGTTATACATTTATAATTGATAATATTATGATACTTTTTAACCACCAAATTGTTTTTAAATAAAACAACAAATAAAGCAAGTGTATAGATTAACATTTTGAATAACCTTAAATGTTTGTTTTGTTTTTCAAACTAATGAAATAATATAAGTTTCAGAAAAAAAACAAATTTGCTGATGTTGTGTATAAAAATATTGGGTACTTACATAATGTACAATGTAAAGAACAATTCCTAATATTATATCAATCTTGATGTTATTTGGTTAAAATAAAAGTGGCACTGAACACGTTTTCTATTTATTTGAATAAATTAGTATACGTGCATTTAGTATTATAGAATATAATCGATCGTACAATTATTTTTTTAATCTAATCGTATTTTTTTACGAACACGCATGTGACTATAGTGGTGTATTCACGTGTTCCGAGACTATCAAAAATATTTGCGTTAGTTATTTTCTTCGATGAAAATTAGTACTGTGGAAAAACTAAAAAATCCAATGTACTTACAATATTTTGGAGCAAGATAGCCTGATAACAGTAATAATGCAACATAGGATTCAAAACAATGTATACCTCTGATAACATCATTGGTGATTCATAATTACTAATTTGTAGGAATAAAAATATTTAGATAAATAAAAAAATTCGATTTTAATAACTTAAAACCACCGGTAATGTTGCTGGTCCATTTGAAGGTACTTATTCTAAATTTTACCTACCGGGGAAACTTAAATAAAGCGCCACTGCCCACATCATTTAAAAGTTCTCTAGTACGTTTAATAAAACCAATTATTTGTATAGATTTACATAATGGCGATTATGTCTTAAATACGTGGCCTCTGGTTTAAAAAAAACAAAGATTTAAATTTATAGTTTATCAACTATTGTGTATATATTCAGTCAAAATAAACTCAAATCGTTGAAATGGATAATTGTTTCAAATTAACGCTAATGTTAAAATAATAAATGTGTATAATTCGTGTATTTTCTTAGTTGAATGTAATAAAGTTTTTGTTTAATGATCAGTTATGTCGACATCGTCGAACCACAAATAAAATAACATCGGACTTTGGGTTGTAATTTATAATCATCTAAGGATTTAATAGAAAGAAAAAAAACTTTAAATCATTAGTAAATAGAAGTACTTACTTTTGAAAAGTTACCAGAAGTATCATTTACGAACAAAGACAAAATATTAGAGCCAAATGAAGCCCTTAAGAAACACCTGCGGCTACAGAAGGGATATAATAAGGAGCAGATAAATACTTTTTATTATACGTAATAAATTGCCTTTTGCCTGTAAAATAAGAAGTCAGCCATGGAAGTGAAGAATTTCTTATACCAAGAATGGAGTAATTATACAGAATCAAAAGTTTTTAAATTGTTGGTGAAAAAGCATTTACTTGACGAACCATAAACATATGAATATCGGTATAATGTACTTGTTCTTAAAACAATACATTTCGAACAGTCGATCAACCACGTTCAAAACCATGCTGTCACAGTACTTATATTATAGTGCTGTGCAATATTATACTTGGAACCTGAATACCTACTGGTATATTAATCTTCCGATTAATAGTCTAGGGTTTTTTAGGAACATTCGTTAGCCGAGTTCAAAATTTCATTAAATTTATTCGAATACCTTCTAAATTTGGAGTATTTCTTAAAAAATAAAAACTGCAATATGTAGTCAATATAATCCAAAAATTATTCATGACAAATAAATGCTTGAGTTTTGTAATTTTTTGATTCGTAGGTAAGACTATAAATATTAATTAAGTAACGTTATTAGTATTATTGAACTACCATGTATCATGATAATAATATTATCTGCTATAATTATTATATTTAAATTGTATTGTATTATAAAATATATTGGACAACGATTACATTCATACTTTTTATCAGAGTAATGACTAACTATTATTTAATATGTATTATGTCTAATTAATAATTATCATCATCGTTGAGTGTATGAATGGGTGATTGGTAGAACAACTCATATTTTTGAATTGATGAATATTATCGTCAGATAGAATTATATAGATTATAACTATAAGTGCTCATGAAGTTATATGCCCAATAGTATAATACACCCCTTATCATCAAATTAATAATTCAATTTAAAAAAAAAAAATGGACAAGTAGGAAACCTCTCTGCTGTATAGTAGGGTTCGAGTGTAGGTACCTCGTCATTCAGTTGCTCACTGCTGTAATGGGTACCGATGTTAAATTTTAATTCAATAATAAATCATTGCATATGAAAAGCGATTCTATGTCAATACATTCATCATGCCACTTTAGAATTGTATAACTTTATACCTAATAAACTAAAAGAAACTATCAAAATGTTTAGTTTTAGTCTTGACATATTAAGTTCTCAGATAAACTTTTAAAATATTAATAGTATATACTCTCATAATATTTATTTTGATGTTGTGATTCACGGATGTGAAGGTGGGACATAAATGAACTCAATTGAAGACAAATATTGTAATTAAAATACTCGTGGAAGCAAAATAGTTATTTATTTAACCATTTTTAGTTACAAATAAAACTGTAGATTTAAACAACAGTAGTAACCTATTTAAGTTTTTATGTATACTAATACTTTGACCAGACAACATTAAACTTAAATATGTTGTTTTTATTTAGATACCAATGTTTTCAAACATCCTCTTTCATTTATGGAATAGGTAAGATTTTACTTTAAGCATTTTTTAAATTTTAATTTAAAGAAATATAGAATTTGTACGAATTTGCACCGGTATAATGAGTAATAACTAATTAATAGGTATATAATAACAGATAAGAAAATATTACAAAACATGGATATCAGTCCTGTTTGGGAAGTCATTATCAATACTAACTCCATGTATGAGAGTGTAAGATGTGAAAGGGGTGATTGGTATAGTTGTGTTTTGTTTTTATTTTTAATGTAATATATAGTTAAAGCAAAATATCTCAGTACAATATTCCCAATTTTAAGTTTTAGTCCTGCGGAATGGAATTTCGTAATCTTATATGCGGAGAAAACCCATAAAAACAGAAGAGGTATTAGGTGAACTCGTGTCTTTTGGACAAGATAATATTATATAGTATCAAAAGTACCCTCTGTTTACTTTTCAAAACTAATTTCGATGCGCCAGGATGTAACTTTCGACACGTACATTCATTTCGTGACACAGGTCATGATGAAAATATACAATGATCATCGCTGCTCACCCGGGTGCAAAGTGTAGGTAAATCATTGAACTGTGTTAGGCCGTTCGTTATTATTCTAATTTTAATTTCTTTTTTCGATTATATATTGCTTAGTCAAACATTAGCTATAGTTAAAATTATTATAGTTATTATTTTAGCTATAACATTATCTACAGCTACTATAGTATCATAAATGACCAATAAGCATATAGGATACTTGTTAAATAGTGAAATTCAACATTTTTGTACTCCAAATACATTTGATAACTTAAATACTTGGCTATATTATGTAATTGTATAATTAAGAATTTAAACTAATAATAACAAAAAAAAAACAAGTACACTTTTATGCTAAATTCTATAGGGCTTAATCTAATTATGTTTGTCCTTGCTCAATTTACAATATTTGTGTAGAAAAAAACCTTAGGTACACCTGAACAAATTCTGGTCTGAAGAGCTCTATTGACAAGTAGGTACTTACCTATTTAGGTATTTATGAAATATTAATTTGACTATTTCTTAAATGTATTCATTTGATTAGTATTTAAATACTTATTGGAAAATATATTGACATACTTTTTTATCCAAGTATTTCTATACATATTTTAAATATATTTTGTAATTATTTATAACAATCGCGGATGGTAGAAAAAAACGTTTCTGCTCTAATGTCCTTTACTTGAGTGATTTTTAAATAACAAAAATAGGTGGTTCACTTTGTGTTGTTTGTCAAAACCTAAAGGGCTAACCTGAGGATGATGTGGGGGATCTTCAACATCCCTAAGTCACTATTATTATTTGTTTCAATTATCATGCATTAACACGTACTCATGGTTATAATATGTAGAATTTGAATCACTAAATTATATATATGTTTAAAAATGTCCCTCTAAAAATGGAACATGAGACGCCCTTGTAATTTTCCTGCCATTTAGTTTTACTCATTTTTCGGATTACCTGGAATGTTGTTTGTATTTGAATTGCAACGTTTTTAGGTCCATGCATTTAATGGACACAACTAGTAGATCAATTTCCTAAAAACAAAACTCTTATTTATTATTTGCTTTAAATATTATTATAGAGATGACTTTTCGTGAAACAGAAACGGATGTTGAAAAATAACATTGTGGATTAACAAAATTATCAAATGTACGAATACATAATGTATAAGCATGGGTTTATAGACTAATATAGTTTATGAAATATTAATTCTGTGGAAGTCCAATTAAACTTTATAATTATGTGAGTATGACATAGACATAATATCGTATATGCATACATATACATAAATGGGCAATATTTACTATTAATACATTAATACATTAGTATTAATTCGATAATCCAATTGGAATAAAATATAATAAAAATAAGTCAATCATGACTTGATCAGAATCAAAGATACGTAACAGGTACCTAACAAGAAGACTCATAGTAGAATATATAATTTCTAATAAATATATTATGTTGCTTAAACAGTTATACTTAATAATTTACTCAAACTATAATAAAATATATCTGTTTTACAGTATACTTCTGAACTATGTTCGAGTGATACTTCCATAAATATTGGATAGTGGTAAAGCATACAACAACAATGTTGACATTATATTTTGATATTATTTCAGAGATTAATACATAGTTTATAAGCACTGTGGTAAACTACAGTGACCGGTGAGTGCAGGCTAAGTCGAAGTCAAAATAACTTCTTAGTTACTTATCTATATTATACTGACCAGGTGGCCAACTGTGATATTCTATAGGTCTCTTCGAGAAAAATGAAACTATATCAACTATATATTACCCATGTCCCGTGTGCTGTAAAAAATGAAACAATCATTTTTTTTTCAAACAAATAATAAAATATTATAATATCTATGCACTTAGGTACTTCAAAAACACGTATACGGTATATTATTATTACTAGTAAACTTCCTTTAAAAAACAAAACATAAAAGTATGTATATTTGTTGTTTTATCAAGTGCCATTGTATAATGCTATATTATATATCCATGTAGGTAAGTACATAGGTATATAATTTATAAATGTAACTATAAGAAGTAATATAATCATAAATAGAAATATATAGTGAAACACATTATTCACATTACTATATCCATAGCACTGGTTCTCAAACTTATTTTCCTCGTGGCACATTATTATTATTAGGTACCTACTAAAAGTTGTGACATACTTTCGTTAAGCATTTTTTTCTTCTCAATAACAAGTATTTTTTGGTCCGGGAAAAAAACGCAGCAAACCAAACGAACATTAAAATATTCGCAATCAAATATTGAAGTATATATTTTTATTATTTTTTTATAGTTATTATTGTTTTCTAAAATAATTACATCTCGAATAATATTGAAATTTCTAAAAAATTATTCAAATTATCACAGTACACCCTTTGGGAAATACTGATACATAAGTAATAACTAATAATAGATAAGAAATCAATAGTTCATTAAAAGTGTTTACAAAATAAAAATAATAATTAAACTATTGCGAAAAATAAAATATCAGGTCCTATTTCTTGGCCAACTAAAAGTCGTCAGAAATTCATACAAATGTATGCAACTGACAATAAAATAGCATGCCATGGCTCAGCGTATATGACTAAATAGTTGTAATAATTAATAATTAGATTAGTAGGTAGTAATAACAGTTTTTATTTTTTTTTAAGTTTTCCTGATAAAGTCATCTAACTTTTTCATTACAGTATTTTATTAATAGTAGTTAGTAATAGTTATGAGTTTAAATAATAATTTTACATAGGTAATATATTATTTTCATTAATTAAGCAGTTAAGGCATATTTCTTAATTTAATCGTAATTTACGTGCATGTAATAATAAATAATATTTATTACACTGTAATATAAAATATTCGTGTAATACAATATTTAGGTTGTTCAACAAAACTTTGTTGAAAACAATAATTTATCGTACATTATTCAGTAAAATATTATTTTATCTTTTATTAATTAGGTATTTACAATTTTATTGTACATCTCCATTAGGCCGTGACTGTTAACATTATTTTTATTATTTTTCGTTTTATGCGCCACAGTGGAACACGACTACATATTATTATTGCAGTACGTGTGACGGTTATCAATTTATTTGTCTACTTTTGTCAAAATATTATTTTCCACGCTTGACATTATTCGTACGTACAATATATAATATTTGACACTTTTTAGTAGCCGTTTTTGTCTATTTTTGTTCCTATATTATATAACTTCCGAACACGGCAAAACTTGAACACCGAACATAATGCAGCGGAAATTTCAGAAATTATCATAAATACAATATTGGAATATTAGTTATAATTATAATACATAGTATATCATACATGCATGAATGAAAACGAACGGAATCTTGACCTTTCAACCATAAAACAACAAGAATATCCTCGTTAGACGCGCATTCGGGCGAAATCGTATCAACAGCATAAGTAAAATAATGTTGGATGTGAAAAAGGACAGATGGTCGAGTATAGTGATCGAGATTAGGGATTTGATAAACGATTAAAGCCCAGTGCAATCAATCAATGTTGTCAGGATAGAAGATTGGACAACAGGGAGATGTCTACGAACTATGACATCGGCGCAAGAACTATAATTCAAAACCGCACAGACGATTGAAAGTGTAATACGATTTCTGGTTCAACGCTAACGCATTACAAGACTAAATAAATAACAACAAAAACGTACAAATTAATTTTTCGTTACATTTACAACGATGTAAAGATATTTTATAAGCGGGTGGTTTTTCCATCTGAAAAATTATGTTCTTTTTTCTAATCATTAAAAGTTAAAACATTTAAACCTCTATACAAGATTTAGCAATACTTAAAGTATAAGTAGTTATATGAGGAATATTGCACTAAATTTTCAACATTTATGAAGAACAAACATTTTTTATCAACATCCATCGCAAAAAAGCTAAAAACGAATTCAAAATTCAAATCTTTTATTTAATCTAAATATTTGGACAACTTAATTTTAAGTGAAAAATTATAATTGAATTCAAATTGAAATGTTTCAAGATTATAAATTATGATTAATATGTTTCAAATCACATCAAAATAAATAAAATCGTTAGAGAAAAAAATCATTATTTTTTTACGTTTGAATAAACAATTCCGTCAAAATGTTAACTTCAAAGCTTATAAAAAAAAAAACAATTTGTATTTTTGATGTTTTTAAGCTGTTATAAAAGAATCTTTCAAGAGACCTTGTATTACATTTACTAACTATTTGATCTAGGAACATTCAACATCAATCAAATAAAACTAAGAAACTTCGAACATTTCAAATATTCACAAATGGCCCAAAGAGCCAAAATGTTTTTAAAATTATGAAGCGTTTAGTTAGTATTAATATAATTAATATTTGGAGAACATTTCAAGCATACGTTTATACATTAACTTAAAAAACATATATTAATAAACTGTTTTGAAATAGGCATTACCTATCTCACGTTAGTATAATGTTTAAATATTTGTTATTGTTTCATACAATTTTAATTAATTTTGATTCAGCTTAATTGTGATTATCATCTGAAATCGTAAACAATTTTTCAAGTTTAGACCGTCTAATACTTTTTGGTTATATTAAGCCAGGCCAATAATTGTATCACGCAGTACGCACTGAGACCGCAGGCTGTCCATCATGGGGTATGGAGTAAAATATTTCATGTTTAATATGAAGATTGGTGGGTTAGGTATAACTTATAGCTAATATAGTCATCAATTTTGGTATTAAATTCATAATTTATAATTTAAGTAAAATGTTAGGCATATAGGCGTATAGAGAGCATCTGAAAAAATGTTAAGTCATCGGTAAATATATCAAATTTCAAATTTCAACTAAAAATAGCATCAACCAACAATTACCTCCCTCCCCTGATATTTACCACTGAAAAATATAAAATATCATTGTTAATTTAAATTAAGTTGTTTAAGTTTTCATTTAGTTCTTACCTAGGTAAAATATAATTGTTGTTCAAAATGTGTATGTATAAGTAGGTACTTACATATTCATATTTTTATCAGGTAGTAATATTACGTTCAATACATTCAATTCATTCAAATAAAAATGTTCAATTTTATGAACATAAAATTATGTAAAAATTAATTTGTAAAAATAATCAATAAAAACCGAAACACGTTCATAATTTTTATGAATTTATAAGATAAAACTAATTATTATTTATTTCCAATTCCTAAGTAATTGTATAAACAACTTAAAAATCTTACAATTTATGGAAAAAATTTTGTATTTTTTTTTATTTTTAAGCAAACTGTCGGTGGCATCTGTGGCTGTTGGACATGACATTAAATGTAAATAATTTAATAATCAAAATTACGTCAGTGTACCTACTTAATAAAAAGTGAGTTTTAATTCCTTATAAATTTAACGTAGAACCTGTACACTATACAGTATTTACATTTTAAAAACATAATAAATGTTAAAGAAAAATATATTTTTTTGGGTGGAAAATAAAAGTACCTACGAAAATTGTTGTAATAAAAGGTGAATTAAAATTGGTTTCTTTAAGAATTAATGAATGTAAAAAAGCGAATGGTAGATATACATTTTGGTTATAATGAACGTGAACTCGTACGAGTTGGTTTTTAAAAAAAAAATCTACAAACGCTTTAACATGCTGGAAATAAAATATATGTATTATGAACTTTAAGTGAACAATAAAAAATTGTATAATAATTTTAGTGTTCATATAAAACGCATGAAATACTTATTAATGTCGTCAACAAAACAATCCTGATGCAGAAATGTATAGGTATACTGCAGTATACAATTTTCTTAAATTATAAATGTATAAGTGCTTCACGTTATAAGTTACTGATTTTATTGTTTACATAATTCATTTTAATTATGAAAGTAAGTGCCTCCTTATCAAAAATACTATACCTAGATATTAATTTTTTAATACCTCTTCAGTGCAAATTTGAATTGGTTTTTCAAGTGAAATTATCTAAATAGTATCCAACCCATTTAACTTAATATAGT